TGGATTGGATTGTAAAAGCACTGTTAGTTCTTTGAAAGATGATGTCCTACATACATGGATAAACAGCACAACAGTTTGTCTGTTTAGTGCAGTAAATTAATTAGGTTTAACATTTTAGAAGAGAAAACATAAACCTTACTGGATTCATTTTGCCTGACCCGGGAAGACCCGGGCTCTTGCCCTTCCAAGATTTGTGCTTAAGTGTTTTGGTGTTTGGGGCGTGATTAACATTCCTTCTGTACCCCTGCAGCTTAGAACATATCAGGTCTTGTTGATCTGTTAAACTCTGGAAAAAGGAATACACCCAACACATGTTAGAGGAATCATGCCAACAGCTGTCAGAGTCTCTGTCAGGGGTATCTCCTGTTGTCTTGGGGTTTTGGGGCTGGCTGTCCTCTCCAGCTTGCCATGCATGCCTGGCTCTGTAGCCAGGAGCAGTTTGGAGACACAGTGGGCAGAAAGCCGCGAGCAAGGCCTGTTGTGTGCAGGTGGATGGATTTGCAAGACCCAGGACCAGAACCAGGCAGGGGGAGGGTTAGGAATCAGGTGACTGTGTCCAGGGGCCAAGAAGATGCCAGCCTCTAGAAACCAGGGCAGCTGAGGCTGAAGGGCCAGGACTGGAGCTGGCGTGGGATGGAGAGTGCAGGGCATCTTCCTGAGGTCAGGTTGGCGGTGTGGAGGAGGCGTGGGTCCAGTTCTGAGGCTGATTTGCTCCTGGGGCTTCATCCACGGCTTCATCCGCGCTCTTGGCCTGATCAGGCATTGAGGCCATTGGGCAGCTCCAGGCCCCAGCGACTTGGAGGTAAGAGTCAGCCAGGCCTGCCGAGGAGTTTCAGCAGTGAGGACAGTGGCCCAGGAGAGCAAAGATTCCACATGGTCCTAGAGGCCTCAACTGATTTCGTTTCCTCCTTTTCAGTGCTTGAAGCAGTGGCTGAAAGGGCAGAGCACTTGCCCAGCATGCCATGGTCACAGTCAGTGAAAAGAGCAGCCTGTACTTTGTGGAAGAGGCCCATCCAGTTACAGTCGACAACTGCCCTCCTGCTAGTCACAACTCAGTACTGAGAGATAAGCTGCCTGTGGAATTGGCAGAATAATCACATCCTATATTCAATAGAAGACACAAACCTATGAGGACTCTCTTGTGCTACGTGTTGCAGGCCCGATACATGGGCCTCTTTCCAACAGCTGACATTGATTATTTCCCCTACTCTGGTTCACCCTTTGGTATAATTGCATTTCTTACATTGTTGGTGCTGCTGCAGAGGGCTCTTTGGGGATGGGAGGTTCCTTTCGGAAAGTGTTGTGAGTGCCCCGAAGCAGTACCTGAGTTCTAAGGGTTCTTCACCTATTACAGTGCCCCAGCTTCCCCTGTGTGTTTGAATAACCTATTCTAGTGGCTCCACAAGAGAAATGATATGGACTTTCTGAAATTTTTTCTGAGATTGAGTATACTTGAAAATATGCCTACGGTTTTCCTCAGAGATTCTACATTTAAGAAGTGAGCTTAAGCAAACTACATTTTAATAACTTACAGTTAATGTTCAAATATTCACTGATTGAGACCGAAAGATTCCAGTCTCCTCTTCTTGAAACTCATGTGCTTTTGATGTTTCATTTCACTATTCTATTTCCTCCAGTAGATTTGCAGAGCCCTGGTGGTGCAGTGGTTAAAGCGTTCTACCGCTAACCAAAAGGTCGGTGTTGGAATCCACCAGCCGCTCTTTGGAAACCCTATGGGGCAGTTCTCCTCTGTCCTATAGGGTCGCTGAGTCAGAATTGACTCGACAGCAACGGAGATTTACAGAGTGTTTACTTCTCATCTTTTAAAAATATAATCTAATTTTTTTTTAATTGAGTAAAAAGATTCTCATTAGTATCAGCAAAAACCTTTTTTTACCCCTAAAATTGAGGCTGTGTGTTCATTATACCAGCCCCACATTTGGGACTTATCCTTTGAACACTTTAATATTCTCATGAGCAGCACTTACCCTTCTTTGTGAGTTGGTTGATCAGCAGGTGTTCGGGCGTCTGGCCCAGCACCACACACACAGTAGGCACCGTGGAGAGATGAACGTAGCGTCATTCCCTTCCTCTCCCACCACCAAGAAAAGAAACTTGTGTAATTAAACAATTCCTGAGTGCCCTTGTCCAGTCGTGTGGTGTTCAACATTTGTGTAAAGTGATGCATGCAGAGTCGTACTGTGCCCTGAGAACAACACTGTAACTGCGTTAGAAACTGTCAAAAATTAGATGTCGTTTCGTGATGTATTGACAGTGGTGCGTATAGAAATGTGAATTCTGTACACATTCCATTTCTCTCAAATAAGAAGGATCAAAAAATGTCCTTCAATGTGTTCTTTGTTCCATTGGAAATCAGCAGTCACACGTTTATGAGCCGATCTGGTCACCGTCCTCTGCCTGTGTTCAACGTGAATTTTGATGTGTTCGTGACTTAGTCTGTGGACACGCTCTTCTTATTTTGAAACAGGTTCTCCGTGCAGATCCTTAAAGTACTGTGTACATTCGTGTTACTGATAACTATTTTAGAATAGATTTTAGAATACTTGGGGACCAGTTTGTAGCAGCAAATACAGTGGAAAAGAAGAGCAGTTGTAGAGTCTTTGTATTTTGTGCATAACCTCAAGTCAGTTCTTGTGAACATGCCTTACATGTATGTAGTAGCATTCCAAATAAAGAGCATTCAAAAATAATAGCAGCTTACTGTCATCTTTATCCATTCTTTCTCGGATAATTTAAAAAATGCATTCTGCTTGAAAATTCAGGCATGTATGTTGTACTACTATCTTAAAAAAAGTGACTTCACGTGGAAAGCAGAACCATGTTATAGCTGAGGAACGTGACTGGGCACTCGGGGCCTTTTAGAGCCTGGATCAAAACATTGTTTTATCCCCCAAAAAGATTGCTAAATTCAAGTTCACTGTTCTGTAAGGTTCACTATTTAAGTTAGTGAGTGGAAAGTTTATACAGGGATGAGAATTTACTGTGTTAAGCTAAATTTTCGTGTTAATACATGTGAGGGTATTGAGGATAATCAACAGTATCGATTTTCTTTGAGACACTTGGATTCATGGCCTATTGAGGTTGATCAGTAGATTTCCCTTTTAGAGAACTTTCTGGGTATGGTGAGCACTAAGATTATTGAAGAAAGTTAAACAATTTTCTTTCTATTCTAATCTGTTCAAAGTATTATCAGTAAATATTTTTTATCCAATAGCATGTAATTCAAAATAATGTGCTTTAGAGCAATGACTATCCCTGAGAGTTTAGATCTTTTTCCTGTTGAACTGCTTCATCTAGGCTGTGAATAATGGATAACCCAATATAAAAGTGAAGTGGTGCCCTAGGAGTGCAAAGTGTTAACTGCATTTTTAAGGTAATTTCAAAGATAGTGTAGGCCAGTGGGCAAAGTGGTCAACATGCCACAAAAATGAGGAAATAACTGATTTTAAATCTATTTTAGACACTGTCAACCAGATGACACTCTCTGAAGCAATGGGTTAAAGGAAACGGGTAGAAGATCGGCAGAAGTAGAAAATCCTTTATCAACTTGAGGTCCTTACTGATGAGTTGATAACGACAGGTGACTAGTTGGGTAGGTTTTGTCAGAAACAGGACCAAAACCATCTTCAGTATGACCCTTCCATGGAAGGAATAGGGAATAAATTTAGGTGTTTTAAACACTTGTGCAACAAACTTGATTTAAAATCTCATTGTAAAGAGACATGATCATCAGTTGGTCACATCCGTTTTTACCTTCTCTTTGCTCTAACAAGGTCGACTAAGAGGAGACCTTTATACCTTCATGTGGTCACATACCTTAAGCACTTGGCTGAGAAGAGTGGATGAGGCCTGGTGGGAACCAGTGAAAGCTGGAAACCATTCATTCAACAAATACATATTGAGTACCTACTCTGTGCTAGGCACTGGGCTAGGCTTTTGTGATATGGCAGTGAGCAAGAGACAAGGACCCTGCCTTTATGAAATTTGTCTTCCAGTTGAATAAACAATAGGTAAACAAATACATAATGTTATTTCTGGTAGTGGGAAGGACTTTGAAGAAAAAGCAAGAAAGGTATATAGATAACAAATGATTTGCTTGTAAAGTACTTAGCTCAGTGCCTAGCACATAAACCTTTGCTAAATGGGAGCTAGTAGTCATTACTCAGATGAAAAAACCAACCCCATTGCCGTTGAATCGATTCTGACTCAGTGACCCTATAGGACAGAGTAGAACTGCCCCATAGAGTTTCCAAGGAGCACCTGGTGGATTTGAACTGCTGACCTATTGGTTAGCAGCGGTAGCACTTAACCACTACACCACCAGGGTTTTCTACTCAGATGAACGACCTGGGAATTGCATGAAAAGGGAGTTTGGTGTTATTGTATAAGAAAGGTTTTGTTTAGATCAGGAAATGA